CATTCTGTGTTTCACTTCCAGTATAGTATTCAATAAATACATGAGATATTCAACACACTAGTATAAAATAGGCTTTGTGTTATATATTTATGCCCAACTGTAGGCTAATAAGTATTCTAAGCATGCTGAAGGTAGGCTAGACTAAGCTATGATGCTCAGGTGTATTAAATGCATTTTCAACTTAGGATATATTTTTAACTTATGATGGTTTTATCAGGATGTAACCCCACTGTAAGTTGAGGAGCATCTGTATAGAAATTTTTAGGCTTTGGAGGGATGGGGAACCAAAAAGGAACACAAGCTGTCAACAGTATCTGCCTATAAAGAGCAGATAGGTATCTGGTAATTTTAACAGTTCTTAGATATGTATATGTATATAAATTATTAACATCAATCATTAACATCAACCAATAACCCTCTGCTGATTATGGATTTTTAAAATGTCCCCATAACTCCTATTATCTACTATATAAAATACTAAAGAAACACCTACATTTTAATGTAACAGAAATCAACTATAAAAAAATTCTTTTTACCTTGTTGCCCGCTCTTCCAGTCCGTCCTGCTCTGTGCACATAATCCTCATAATGATTGGGGCAGCTATAATTTACTACAAGAATCAGATGTTTCACATCTAGACCTCGGGCAGCGACAGAGGTGGCCACAAGAAGTTTGCAGGTCCCATTTTTAAAGTCATTTATGATGCTATCTCTGTCATATTGATCAATGCCTGCAGGTAAATTAAGGAGAAGACCTATAAAACAACACGTTCAAATAAAATTTTCTAATTCTTCTGATAGAGAATGAATCTAAACTTGGAATAAAAAACAATTTCACACTTTCAACTCCTACAACATAGAAAATAAAAGACTAAGAAAATTTAAAAGCAAGACTGAAAGTTACTGCTATTAATTCAATTTATGAATCTTTCAACTCTGCCTTGTTTTGTCCCCTTTCTTTATATAAAGCTTGTATTTGTAGAGGCCCAATATCAGAATCACTAACCTATACCGGTTTGGGGGCCAAAGGGAGAAAAGGCAGGAACATTTAGCCTATGATGGGATTTAGATCTTTCTTTGTTTCCTGTAGGTCATGTAGAGACTTGCTACTCAATTTTGTCCAAGGAATACAGCAGAAGCACATGGGAGCTTGTTAGAAATGCAGAATCTCAGGTCCTACCCAAACTACAGAATCAGAATTTGTTTTTTTTTTTGTTTTTTTTTTGAAACAGAGTCTTGCTCTGTTGCCTGCACGAGAGTGCAGTGGCATCATCACAGCTCTGTGCAACCTCAAACTCCTGGGCTCAGCAATCCTCCGGCCTTAGCCTCTCGAGTAACAGGTACTACAGGTACATACCACCACGCCTGGCTACTTTTTCTATTTTTTGTAGAGACAGGGTCTCACTATGTTGCTCAGTATTATCTTAAACTCCTGGCCTCAAAGTGATCCTCCTGCCTTGGCCTCCCAAAGTGCTAGGATTATAGGTGTGAGCCACCCACCCAGCCTAGAATCTGCATTTTAACAAAGTCCTTAGATGATTACCACATGCATATTCAAGTTTGAGGAGCACTGGTTAAAAAGTATGCAGCTGGATCTCTCTTAAATATGTGACCCAAAGCAGCTCAGTATGAATGACAAAGCAGAGTATAAAACACCAAAATGTTCAATTACAAGATGTCCAGGTCACAAAATATTTTATGATGGAGTGCTAAGGAATCTCTGGTAATAGAGAAGGGAATAGGATAAAATCTCAAACCGTAAAACTCATGCTTGCAACAGATTTCACATAAAATCTGAATTTAAGAAAAACCCAGAATATTTAGCATATAAATATGTATCAATGTTTATCCTATTACTAGCTAAAATTTTAAATGTAGTCTTCAAAGATTGATTTAAAAAAGTATTGAATCTAATGTCAAAGAGACTGAGATCTAA